GTTTTAAGCCCCTGAATTTAATATATTGTTGATATATTTTCACAGTATAGTATGTGAAATGCATAGTTTACATCGTATCAAGCTTTCATCTCATCAGTTTGATTACTTTCAGATGGTATTCATTAAGACCACGGTAGCTGATGGTGTGGTGTTGACAGTTTTTATCTTTATTAGTGAGTTCAGACAGTTGTAAACATTTGATGTTTGATGTGGAGCTCTTATGTAATGATTACATTTTTAAGATGTAATTTTCAAGTGAAAAACATAATATTTATCTGTTGCATAGTTTACAGTGCGGTGTTTTATGCACTGAGTTATCATGTAGAGTTCTGTTTGTCATCTAGCACCATAATCAGGTTTTGTTTTTATTGCATCTTAGATTTTCCAGCTGCTGTGCCTGAGCAGCCACCCAGAGACCCTTTGCTGCAGTTAGTCTCCCTGCAGGAGGCGTCTGGCTGCTGGCTGCTTGATCCAGCTCTGGCTGCTGCACTGGGACAGACCAACGAGGAGGTGGAAAAGTCAAAGCCTGAAAAGATGCACTGCTGTCAATTTAAATATTAACACAAAATGATGATGTGAGATAAAACAGATTTGATTCTATAATTTGAACAAAAACACATGATAAAATTAAAAACACACCATAAAACAAATAAAATGAAGTCAAACTAAACGTAGGCCTGCCTCACAGCCTGAGAATAAACATCTGCATATCAGAAGCTAAAACACTGGTGGTAATCACACTCCTAACCTCCCACTGAGCTGCACCAGCGTCTGATATTATCCAGAAACCACACGGCAGCAGAAATTATTTTCCTCATCAGTTGTTGTAAAAACATGTCAGCACATTATTTTAGAGCATTTATGACATCACAGTTTGGGATTTCATCAGGAAGAGCATCCAGTGTAATAATCTGCCAAATCAAATATGCAGAGCTGCCCACCTTGGTGACCCCGTGTGACAAAGATAGATTTAAATACTACCAGTTTTGTATTTGTAAATCACAATTTCAAAGTCAGTACTTTAGTTGTTCTTTTTATAAACATATGATGCAATTTCATCCCTCTTTTATTTTCCTCGATATATAACACTCTCATTTTCTTTTGAATGTTGCTGTTCTTGTTATCTTTGTATTAATTGTAATCATTTTTTATTTTGAAATCATAGCATATACCTGACCTTCTCCATACATGGGGAGCTACCTGCTGTGATCACTGTTTGTGAATAAAGGGGCAGCTGAAAGTAGCTTTTAGATCATTTGGTATTATTTCATTTTCATTGTTAAATCATGAAGTGACATCACATTTTTACATGAAAAATTATATCAATTTAGACATACACACATATTTGTAACTATAAATGCAAGAAAAGTATATCCATATAATTGTCATTATAATCTCAAACAACTCCAGGATCCAAATTTTGGTTACATTTTAAAAGTTGAAGCCACATTAGGTTTACAATCATATATGAAAAGGAAAATTATTTTTTACATTTTAGAAATCAGAGTACTCATTATTTTACTTTTGTGATTAAAATGATAAAACAATAAAATGCCTAATCATTCACTAACAGATGAATCTTTACAGCTCCAATGCATGTTTTGCACTAGCCTAGGACAGCCACAGAGTTACGCAGAATAAAACCACTAACCAGACTAAACTAGACAGATTAATGATTTAAAGTATGCTGAATATAAAAAGTAGCATAATTTAAACTCACATTAACTCATGTTAGCTATAATAACAAATTCTGATTTATATTTATATAAATATAAGTACAGTTGTAATCACTGCAAAATTATTCTCAGATCTGTCGCCCACTGAATGCTTCAGAAAAAGCCTCATTTAGAGGTATACATAATGATCATGGATCAAAATGAACTTGTCCTTCTATTTGATTTGAATCAACTCTGCAGTGACTCCATCTACCCAAAGCCAAAGTCCAACCGAGAGAGGCTGAGTGAATGTGGTCTGGACTCTGTGGAGGAGGGTCATGGTTTCAGAGATGCTGTAGAATGACATAATGCCTGCACTGTGATCCAGGTAGACCCCTACTCTGAAGGACCGAGGACCTGAGAGCTTAGTTTGTACATTGTTGTGCCAAAATACATAACTGTTTGTGTCACAACATAATGCCCATGATTTGTCATTGAAGCCAAATAAACATTCATATGACTTCCCTATTCTTCTGATATTCTTATATGCAACTGCTACACCGACTCCTCCCCCTCTCCATTCCACCTCCCAGTAGCAACGCCCAGTCAGACTCTCTCTACTCAGGACCTGCTCCCATCCACTGAATCTATCTGGATGATGAAAATAAGCCTGTTTTTGTTTCACCCTTGTTGCTTTTCTATTGCCCTCAGATAATAACACATGTGGAAATGCAGTGTTTGGATCCAGTGTGATTTCACTGGAGTATTTTAAGAATCCAGCCCTGGTCTTTGGCTCTGGTGGTGAGAGCAGAGCATCCTTTTCAGTGACTTTTAGTGAGGAATTTGTCCATTTCTCTCTCAGAAATTCCTGTAGTTTATCTTTGGCCTCTGAAAGAGCTGCTGTCACATCCTCAAAGTACCTCTGAGGACAGATGCTTATACTGGATGAGGGTGTAGAGTCAGTGAGTGTTGACAGTGAGGGGTAGGTGTGTAGAAACTGGTTGTGATCCTCAGTGTGTAAGAGCTGCTCCAGTTCTGCATCTTTCCTCTTTAGCTCAGCGATCTCTTTCTCCAGTTTTTCCAGAACCTCTTTGACTCGATTCACTTCAGTTTCCTGCTTGGATCTGATCTGCTGCTTCACATCAGAGCTTCTATTCTGAATGAGACTAATCAGTTCAGTGAACATCTTCTCACTGTCCACCACTGTTTTATCAGCAGAGCTAATGATGGCCTCCACCTGTTGCTGAAGCAGCTTGACATCTTTCTCTCTGTTCTGGATACTCTGCTGGATTTTTAGTCGTCTCACCTCGAGCTCTTTCTGTTTCTCTGTCCTTTCTGTTGCAGCTGGGACCGTTTCATGGCCTTTATGTTCATCCAGCAAGCAGAGATAGCAGACAGTCTGCTGATCAGTACGACAAAAAATCTTCATCACCTCATTATGGCGAAAACAGATGTTCTCTTGGAGCTTCTTGAATGGCCCAGCAAGTGTGTGCTTACTTAGTTGGGCAACATCACGGTGAGGTTGTAGGTGTTTCCTGCAGTAAGAAACTAAACAGACCAGACAGGTTTTGCTGGCTTTCAGCTTCATTCCAGTACAGACATCACAGGACACGTCTTCAGGTCCAGCATAGCAGTGATCAGCCAGAATAGCCTGGGGTCCGGTTTTCTTCATGTCTTCCACCAGCTCTGCTAACAAGATGTTTTTCTCCAGGATAGGCCTTGGTGTGAAAGTCTTCCTGCACTGAGGGCAGGTGTGGATTTGCTTCCTGTCCTCATCATCAAAGTGGATTTTAATGCAGTTCAAGCAGTAGCTGTGTCCACAGGGAATAGTCACTGGAATTTGCAGTAGCTCCAAACAGATTGAACAAGAGAATTTCTCTGAATCCAACAGATTTAGTCTCTGTGCCATTTCTCCTCTCAACAGCAGTGAATCACCAGATATTGGGCAAAAGCAGCTCAACTCAACTCACAGCATTCTGTGAGCTGAGTCTGTGGAAGGGGAGGAGCCAGCACAAAAGCAACACTGAAACCTGTTTCTAAGAAAAGCTGCCAAACTATCAAAGATTCCAGGACAGGGAGCAGTCTGAGTCGACTTCCTTCTTTCTTTAGAACTCCTTTGGCATGTTAACCTGCAATAACCTTTTAATATATAAATTTTTGGTGTTCACCTGTGCATGTTTATGTTTTTAATTTTTCTATTCCAAACAGCAAAAGAAAATGTGATCCAGTATTAGTCTGTGAAGGTTCTCAGTCATCCAGGTCATCGTAGTCCAAGGAGCTTGGAAAGAAAAGCGTCTAGACTTTGCTTTCCAAGGCATGGCATTTCCTTCCTTTTTTACAACAGCTGTGTTTATTAATTTCATATTGATGAATCCAGTGACTTAAAGTTTATCCCGTCTTCACATTTCAGATAGTAGAAACAGCTGTAGAATATGGGTAAAGCCTTTCTTCCATCATGACTAATAACTGAAACTCCTCCAATAATTAGTGAAATGCTACACTACTAAGCAACAAATGAACCTGAATGCTTGTGGCTCAGGAGATGCACTCAAAACAGAGTATAGAAGTGTTATATAAGTACCAGTCCATTTAAGGTATATTGAATATGAAGAAATAGTATAGTTTAGCTAAGAATAAGTAAGAAAGGGGAAGTGACTTTGGCGTGGTTGTTATTGCCAGATGGGCTCATCTGAATATTTTAGAAACTCTTCATCTACAAAATAGTGAAGAAGGCACTAATTCTCCCATTTATGAACTAACTACTTTCAGCTGCTCCCTTGTAACATGGCACCACCACAGTGTGATGCTCCACGTGCGTGATTTTGGCAGTTTCATATCAGAAGCCCTTCCTGCTGACAGTTGCTCTGATATGAGACTGATGACTCCATGAGAGAATAATAATAATAGTGGATTGGATTTAAATAGCGCTTTTCAAGGCACCCAAAGCGCTTTACAATGCCACTATTCATTCACTCTCGCATTCATACACTGGTGGAGGCAAGCTACGGTTGTAGCCACAGCTGCCCTGGGGCAGACTGACAGAAGCGAGGCTGCCATATCGCTCCATCGGCCAACACCAGTAGGCAGTAGGGTAAAGTGTCTTGCCCAAGGACACAATGACCAGGACAGAGAGCCTGGGGATCGAACCAGCGACCTTCCGGTTACAGGATACACTTCCCAAACCCCTAAGCCACGGTCGGAGCATCATGCCTCGTTAGCTGGGGGTCCTGGAGGACCCAGCCAGCACATCCTCGTGACCACTGACAGCTCTGGGGAGTCCGTTTAGCCACCGCCTGCAGTGTCACCTCCTGTGACTTCCACACTGTCGCCTGCAGCGTCTTGTCCTGCAGTTGCCATGCCACCAGCTCGTCCACATCTGGCTCAGCCTGCTCGACCTCGCCCACATCTGGTTCGGTGTCAGCAGCCACCTTCCAGGCCGCTGACTGGACTTCTTCGCCGGCGTGGTCGGCCTCCTCAACTGCTCCGTCGCCACCGCTGGTTCTGCGGTCGACCTCCTGAAATGCTGTGCCATAGACTTTTGTGCCGTCAACCTCCGGGTCGGCCCCCTGAAGTGCTCAGTGATGAACTATTGAGCCGTAGGCCTGCAGGTCGGCCCCCAGATCAATGTGTTTGAACTCATGACACCAATCCGGTTGTTCAGTGATGACGCGACGAATCCTACTTCCGGGTCTAAAGTAGTCTGCGTTTAATATGGCTTTTGTGTTGTTAACATGTTTAATGTTATGTATTTTCTTCTATTTGATCTCAAAAAGCTCCTAAAACAGTC